GCAACCACTATACTTTTAACAGAATGTCGTATATTTTTATTTTTGGTACACTCTCGATCAATCCGACACAATGATAATCCAGATTTTTTACACGTGCAGATTCTACAGCGTTCTTCCCAGATTTTACNCACTCTACATTTTTTACTGCGTATCTTAAATCCATCGACTTTCCTAGCTATAAATCTCGGATTACCACAAGCGACACCGTTCTGTGGGTCGCAATAACACCGGAGGCCGCCCCCATACCAGCGTGGACCGAGATGACATAATTTATCGTCAGTGGGTATAAGGTGCAAATCCTTGTCACCTAAATCAGTTTCCGCCTCGTCCGGATTTAGCCTCAATGTATTTTCACCTTTCGAACTCAGGATCAGTTTTTTATCGCTTGACGTGTCCGGGCCAAGTTCGGGTACATTTTTAAAGGAAAACCGAGACATGATTTGTTCGTTACAAGACGGAACCCCGTCTAAACCACAAACACACAATCCATCGACTGGGCAATTCAAATCGTCAGATTTTAGAGCATGCACACATCGCTTATTCGCTCGACATCGAATTCCATCCGGTAGACAACGACAGTGATAACAGCCGTCTCGCCACGATTCACCAAGTTTTTGACAGGGGGAATTGTCCAGTTCATCTTGATACTCCGTACACGTTGCGTTAGTACACTTCTCTTTATTATCCGTACACGTACACCAATTACACCCATCAAACCATTTGTCACCCTCGAAATAATTGGGGCCACATTCAGGAGAACTGGAGCATAACACAATTAACACACTGAATATAATTGTTAACATTTTAGTCATCATTTTGAATGTTTCGTTCGTCCTGTTCGTCCTAGAATTTAAACAGAAATAAGTTTACTATTACTCAAACGATGCTTTTAAATCAAAATGTAAATTAAAACTAAGTAGGCCTAAGTCTTCCCACTCTCAATTCCAGTCACAAACTGATATTTCGGATTTTTGAAAATGTTTGGAGAAATACGACTTTGAAGTTTCACCCAAAATTCCGAGAGGAAAATCGCATATTTCTTGGTTTGGGGAAAAAGTTTGAGACCAAAAGTGCTGTAACTGGCAGAGATTCCAAGATAGGAAGCTGAAATTTGGAACACAGCAACTTCAGATGGGTGTGTACCTTCAGTGCAAATTTCAACTTTATATCTCTGATAGTTTTCGGATGGCAGCCTGTTAAAGTTTTGGTCTTCACCCCAGCCATTACTATAAGACTCTATAGGGCGGACGCCG